ATTCTCTTAACTCTTAATTTTTTGTTACAACTTCGTCTTTGCAGGATATTCTATCTAGAGCGTGCAGTACAAGCTGCAAGTTCCTCCCCCTGCCCCATGTTTTGATACCCATTTCCAGATAGCACAAATGGGTGTGTGAGGATTTCCCTCCTTCTCAACACGCAGTTCTGTTTTTCTAGTAAAATATGAGTAGCTTTGCATAAATTCATATGAAAATACAGCTACATGATACTTGGAAATTAAAGTGCACTGTCTAATGATAGTGCCCTCAGGTCTTCATTAGGGCTGAGGGCCCTGTTGTGGTATAAGCCTGTACAAACCCTTCTACAGAACATATGTTGACCAAGTCATGATTTTTAAGAGCAGAAAGTGCAGCAACAATTGCTAATCTTTCTTTTTTTTTTCCCCTAATTATTTTTGTTTATTTTATAAAGCTCACAGAAGAAGTGGAATCTACTTTGGCAGGGAAGATGATCAAAGTCTGCTCTTATACATGGACCCTTGTTGTATTTCATTACTTGGTCTTTCAATTTTCAGACATGGAAAGAGATGCTTACCCAATTCCTCATGTAACATGCAAAGGGGAAAAAAAAAAGAGCCCTTGAGGGAAACTAGCTGTCATCTGGGCTTGTGTAAGATAACCAAAACCCATATGGATAGAAAATATGCTACTCTGAAAGTACAGCAGGTCCTTTGGCTTGGATTAGTTTGTGGTTCTATTAATGGAGAAACCTTTTTTTTTTTAAAAAAAGAGAGAAGTTATACACATAAATTGGAGACTCTGTGTTTACTAAAATTGTTATCTCTGGGATATGAAAATAGGACAAAAAAAAGAAAACCAAGCAAAATCTTTACTCTAGGAGAGCACACCCGTTCGTTTTCTGAAGAATAGGATGACATGATGGAGATACAAAGAGTAGAGATCAGGAGCTTTCTTCAAAGGCAACCGTTACATTTTCATACAAGCATTTCTTTCTTGGTGTGGTTAGTTGGAACATTTGTTTGAACAGCCAGGTTGTCTTTGGTTTATCTTCTATATTATTGGCATTCTTGGCTCTTAGATGAAATAGCCCTGTGGGTGAAATTGCCCTGTAGCTGTAATTTCTTTAATACAGCTCCAGCTGTTTGGTACAGGAATACTCTGGGTATTATTTGCATGCCGAAGCTACCCAATTCCCAGGCAGTCTTGACAGATAGAGGATCTCTTCTTAGCTACAGTTCCACAGACATACCCAGCTTGGCTTCCAAGTTGTTTATCTTCCTCTTCAACCATTACTAGTAGCATTACTGCTAGAAGTCATGTATTAACTCTCAACTCCATGTCTACATTGACACAACATCTTGGAGCAAAATTCAGCCATGGTATAACCCGTAAAACCTTTTAATCTGATGTTTGAGAAAGTACAAAAGTCAAGCTGTCGGATGACTTGTGGTTCTACTCCATTAACTGGTTTTAACTGTTTTAAATGAGGTTGAATTTGCAAATCTGTTGCAATAGCTTTTTAAGACAACAGTGTATTTCATAGTATGTTTTCTTTAAATATATGCCTCCCATGATATATTTTTAAAAACCTTGGCCTTTTGTATCTGTGTTCCCTTCTGCTGAAGAATGTAAAGAGGAAGGGAGAAATTCTGTCTGCAAACAGTTAGAGCAGTGTCCTGTGGAGATCTGCACAGCAAAGATGTGTGCTACTTCATTATTTTATAGCAACAGGTGTGCTGGTTTAGCACAGAATAACTCTCTCATGCTTTCTCCCCTTCAATTATACCTCTTCCTGGAGCTGGCAGCTGCAACAGAGATTAGCCTCCTCCCCTGCTGTACAGAGCCTCGGTAATTTGTTATTCCATATGGTTGAGGTCTGCAACCTGACCAGAAGCTCAGCACCTTACACAGGGGCGAGGGGAGCAAGGAGGTTATGCATCCCCCTTTACGTTTTGAACTCCTGGCATCCCTCCATACTTGTGAAAGGCCCGGTCCCTGCCCGTGTCTTCGCTCCTGAGTGAACAGCATTCAGATTAACTCCTCTGTGACTCAGGTAGGAGCAACTGCAACTAGCCTGCAAAAAAACCCATGAGCTGCAGAGAGATCAGGTTAGGGCAGTGAGTGACTGTCTTGGAGTTGGACTAATTGGAGCACTGTAGTCTCTGTCCCACCTGATGTGGCCTTTCAGGGCTTTTCCTGCTCATTTAAGGTTGTGTATATACAGGGAGGATGTGAATCAGGGTCAGCACTCAAATTCTGCATTGATATTTTTGATACTACTTGTGCTGTATCAATATCGGTTGTATTTTCCCCCCTTTCCACTTTTCCTTTTGTATTTTGAAGAAGTTGGCATTTAATCATTTGAGGTTGAAGCAGTTGGACAAAAAGTATAGGTTTGAGTGAGGGGGGGCTGTGAAGAAGAGACATGTTCTTACATCAAGTCCTTCTGAACTTCACCAGTGGTTCTGCCCAACAGGAGAAGACATATGTATATATCTTGGGAAAATCTGGCACTGCTTTATTTTAATTATAGAAAATATACACAAAATATCCTTTTCTCCTGCTATTTTAAAATGCTATAAATTGTGTGGCTTCCTGTGATGTCATATGTGTCATTGTTTAATGTGAGGTAGGGGTTGGGAAAGGTAGGTGATGTACTTTCTGCTCAACTTCAGAAAAGTTAGTGCTTTGACCTTCACAGGAAAGGAAGAGCTAAGAAAGCTCTGTTTTTAACGCTCAGAAAAGTAAGAAAGAATCATAAAGACAGGAAAGGGAAAATGCTTTTTAACACATGATCTCATTGTTACTCTTTTCACTGGTAATTTATTAGCCCAGCAAATGTTGGCTATGACAATTAAATAGTGCTTGACCTCACTGCAAAAGGACTGCTAGGTTTAACAAAACAAGCTTAATTCTGAGAGATACTAATAATCTGAGAGATTGGGTTTGACATTTGCCATATTGTGAATGAGGGGATTTGTAATGTCCACCTGAATGTTGAGTAACTACTTTTGGTTTTTTTATGGCTCTTTCCAGCAGTGTGTGAGAATGGTTGCATTAGAGGCAAGGGACAGTCTGAACTGCCGAGGGAGATGCAGCTTCTCCTGGGGCGTTTGGCAATTGAGAACTTCTATAGAATGGTAGATGGATGTCTTCTGTTTCAGAAAATGCCATAATTAGGAACTTTGTATATTCCTTGTAAAGTGGAGTTGGCTAAAATTTTCACATCTTAAACACATCTACTTAGGGGTAACATCTGCCTCAAATATTTGAGATCTGTTGGAATTCCAGTGAAGCTGCCCTCAGAAAGTGAGACATAAGATTAAATGTTTAAAACCTGCTTCTGACTCTAATGGGCAGCCTTAATTTCAGTAGTGAGGGTATGAAGATTTCTGGGATCAAACTTTTCATGCATTAATGCCACTAGTGAGCAAAAGTCTGGTGAAACCTGCTGCTGCTTTTTTTTTTTTCTTGCCTTTTTTTTTTTTGTATTAGTTAATCTGTGACTTGCATTAGGAATAGAGAGTGAGTTTTGTGTGTGGCATCCTTTTATATCTGTTTTAAACACTGACCTAGACCTCAGGCCTGCTCTGTGTCGAGCAATGTCCCAGTACTTTCAGACTTGAGGACTCTCACAAAAGTATCCAAATGCTTCTGTATAAGCAGAATGCTGGAAGAGGAAAGATGCCCCGGTGTCTTGGAAGAACCTGTTTGTCTTGGCAAGATGATGTTTGGGTGTTTTTTGCAATTAGTTTGTAATTCAGTCTTTTAGTGAAGCAGCTGTCTCTGAAATACCTTTCTTAATCCGAGTGATAGTTCTATCTGCATAGGCTTGTTGTGTATACATGCTCCTGCTCCTCTTCTGCGTGTCCACTGGGGATTGGGTACAGGGCAGGAGTTTTGAGGAGAGGGAATGGTAGTCTGGTTTGCATTCACTGCTTTTTGTGGGGTTTTTGGCACCTTCCCTTGAAGGCAGGCTATCCTGGGGGTTTCTTCTAGTCCTGCTCAGCCGTGGAGCTAGGGAAATGGAGGTGCTGAAGTGGGGCAGATGTGAAGAGGAGTGAATTTTTTATTTCACTTCCACTACTTTGTGCATGGAGCTCCCTGCCTTTGCTGCTTCTCTTCCCCTCATCACCCCAAAATCTCAATCTATAACAAGACTAGCTTTTAATCCTTTGAATAGCTTGGACTTTGCTGTGAGGCATTCAAAGATAGAAGCTGAGGCACTGGAAAAAGAGCTGATTCTTTTATCTTAGTGTATCTGGTATCATGTTCATATTCCCAGTTAAAAAGAGACCTTTGTTTCCCTGCTGGTGAGGAGGCCTTGGGAGTGTGGTGAGACGAGTAGTTTCTGATGTGTGTTTCTCTGATCCTATAGCAGCATATAGTTGTAGCTCAATTGCTGCTCAGTTGGTTTTTTTGAACTACATAATTTTGTTTAAATTGTACATTTTGTAAACTGACTTGAAGAGTTAATAACTGTTTTAATACTAACTTGTAAGAACATAGCCCAGGTTAAAAATAAAATTACAGCTGTTAGGACCAAACTGAGTTCAAGGCCTATTAGTATTGTCTTCAGAAAAAATATCTGTCCTTATTAGCAAGGTTTTGGGTTACAGGCCATTACGTGATGAGCAGGATCACAAGTGCAGCAAAACAAACTGCATGTCAGCATTGTAACGTGCTTACTTCCCAGCATTTCTTTGTGCGAATAAAACTAAAACTCAGAATTGCGGTTTGTTCTTGGCTCTTCTTCACTGGCCCTCTGTGAAAACAAGCTCCCATCTGGCAAACCAGGTAGCTAGCATGATCGCTATGAATTCAAGCTATGCAGTAACCGGATATAAGGAAGAGTTCTTGCTTAGACATGTGCTCCTAGATTTGACTACCTTGTTTTTAAGACAGATGTGAATATGCCCTACGGGAAGAAGAATGTGGGTTGTTTTACCCTGTATAGCCTAGTCCTTCAGAACTAAGTCTCTAATGCTGTGGCTTTTCCCTTTTTCTCCCTTTCTAGTCCTTCCTCCGGTGCTGGTTCCAAGACACAGCGAGTACAACCCTCAGCACAGCCTCTTGGCCCAATTCCGCAACCTGGGACAAAACGAGCCCCACATGCCGCACAATGCTACTTTCCCGGACTCTTTTCAGCAACCCAGTAGTCACCCGTTCCCTCACTCACCCAACAGCAGCTACCCAAACTCGCCTGGAAGCAGCAGTAGCACCTACCCGCACTCTCCAGCCAGCTCAGACCCGGGAAGTCCTTTCCAGATGCCAGGTACAGTCAACTTCAGTTTCCCTTCAGAAGGAAAAAGGTGGTTGGACATCACTGGTATAGTGTTCTTTTTTGCTTAATAATACCAAATTATTAGCCAACACTTGTGTTCAATAGTGAGCTGAGAGATGTAAGGTAATAAAGACTATGTAATCACCGTCTCGTAATAATATTGAGAGCTTTAATATTGTGCCTCCTTCAAACACGGTTAAAACATTATAGTAAAACTCATCTGGGGCAGCAGGGAGGGATTCAAAATGTTTTGGGGAACAGTTCAACAGTTTAGCTTACAAAGCATGATGTTTAATGCCCAAGAAGTGTAATGCTACGGATCATCCATGCTTAGGAGAGAGATCATCATAAATTCAGGACAAGGCTTTAGTTCTGAAACAGAAGGATGTTTCTCAAGGGGGATCATGCTATTGCTACTTGATAAAATTACTGCACATAATGCTGTAATTTCAAGAAACAAATGCACTTCAACTGAAAAACAGTTCCTTAAGGCTCTGAAAAGAAATATTCAGTCAGTTTACTTCCTAAAGTCAAAGTAGTAACAACCTTTCTTTTTTGACTGATGCCCATAGAAAATTCTGTGGAGCTGTCTTTTTTGGTCTTTACATGTGGATGGATAAAAATACTGCAGAAGCAGTCTGTGACAGATTTGATCCAAATGAGAAGATAAGGACTCCATACAAATGCTTACTGATGTTCTCTTTGCATGTTCTCTTTGGGGGCTGATGGAGGGCATGTGTAAACAAAGCAGCAGACTTGTGAAAATCTGCTTTCTATTATATGAAATTAACATGCATAGATTTCTGCTGCTGATAAAATGCGGATAAAATCTCTTTAAGATTTTTCTTTCCTGAGTGAATACTACCGAGTTTGCAGGGGCAAGAGGGAAAGAGAGTTTGTATTGGCTTTTCTAAAAAACGTGAAAAGTTGCCGCAAAACCAGATCTTTCCTTTCTTTTTTTTTTTTTTTTTTTTTTTTTTTTTTTTTTTAAATATGATTGGTGTTGTTGGGACTCTTCCAGAAGAGATAAAGGCTTCTTTAACAAGGTCTTTCTGAACACTGGCTTGTGGAAGTTTACTTGATCTTTGAGGGCCTGTTCTGTCTGCATGCCTGTAAAGACAAGTCAGCAGCTGCAGTGAAGAAATTGAATTAGAGGAGAGGTCAAGATACTCATGTCCTTGATGCTTAGCTCTGGACAGTTGTCTGTCTTGCCCTAATGGGGAAAGAGGCTGACTTTTAAAAAATACAAAAAAAGGAGCAAAGCAGCTATCCAGAAATCTTGAAAACTTTCTGAATACTGGCTAATTTGCTGCCTGTGGCCCTACAATCTTGTTTCCCTATCTGTGCATCACTAACATGTTTGCACACACACGAACATTTAAGGCTTAGTAAAACATGAGACTTAAACTCCAGTGCAGACTGTTAAGCTTTTAATGCAGTTCTGTTGTCATCTGTGTCATTCTCTGCTGCTCTCTCATCCAACTGAGGGTATCCAAGTAAGGGAATTAGCCAGATACCTGCCAGCATTAGATGTAAAGCTTTCAGCAGAATGTCTCCTAAACAATAAGCAGTTAATAGTTTTTATTAACATATGTTTTCTTAAAAAAACAACACTCCCTTCCCCCAAACAAATAAAACAAAACAACTAAAACCAAAAAAAGACACCACAAAACTCCCAAAACTTACAAAGCAATGGTATGATTCTCCTGCCTTTTGTTGATGCTAATTTGGTTTTCAGGGTTTTGTAGGCCCCTGTGATCATTTGCTGTGGTAGTTTGCAATCCATGCTCTCAGTAATGGAAGTAAATGTGGGATGAGCAGCAGCTGTGTTCACCAGAGATAGTACAGTGGTAATCTAATCTCAGTTTTTGCAGCGAAAGCTTGCAGGGATCAGGCAAGGGTTTCTCTCTTTTGCATGTACCTCTGTGCAATTCATTTGGAGGAGCATGTCCTCCGGTGTATTGGGAAGTGGTGACATTGGCACTACCTGCAGCTTCTAAGAAGCCATTTGGGAAGCTTTCCCAGAAGTGAAATAGGCAGCTGAAGGGCAATGTGAGTACCTGGCTGGGATGCCTCAAACAGGGCTGAAAGCAGTGTGTTAGTGAGTGTGGTCATTGTGCCCAGGCTAGTTTTATGCTAGTGATTCAATCCTGAATGGGGCAGTGCAGCCAGTAAGAGACACTGACAGATAAATTCCAGACCCAGATGGCTACTTCTACAGAATGTGGGTTCCTGAACACTTTCTACTGTTGCCAGTCTAGGGAGATAGAGCTCATACTTTGCAATGACAATAAGAAGGTCCTGGATATATCTGAGATGTTTGCATACTTTGCTGATGGAATCATGTTGGAAATGGAAAAGTTCTAACTGAAAGTTTTCTGCTCCAACTTCTGTTCACATTTACCATATTTGCTATCTGCTTCTGGCCTGGTCCTGAGATGCCTTTGTGCCTTAGTATCTGTATGGCACTTTCAACCTGCAAAAAAACATGGGCCAGAAGCATAGCTGAGCTTTCTTTTGTGGCTTGTTGAGGGAAGTGACTCGTTTTTATTGCAGTTGTGCTTAATATGCAGAGTAATTCTTTGCTTCCCTGATTCAAGGTCCACGATTACTTTCTCAGATTTCTGGTGGGTGGAAGTTTATAGCTGAGTCAGGCTGGAAGCATTTCCAGGCCAAAAGTGTTTATGTGGGTATGTATATATACTCTAAAGAGAGGAAAGGACTTGTGTGTCTCTGTCTTTTCTATATTTAGCTGATACTCCCCCTCCTGCTTACCTGCCTCCGGAAGAGCAGATGACACATGATACCTCCCAGCCAATGGATACCAACATGATGGCACCCACCATTCCCCCTGACATACACAGAGGAGGTAAAAACACTTCCTTCTTGTCTTCTGCTTCACTTCTTAAGAGTGAAGAACTTTCAGAACTGAGTTTTAATAACTGAGGTTTAGTTTTGGATGTATGTTGATCATGCTAATGTTTAGCTGTGGGGAAAAAAAAAAAAGCAACAGAACAGCCATGTAATTTTTTTATATTGTTGAAAGGGATGAAAAAATAAATCTGAAGATAAAAATTTATAAATGTAAATATTTATTTAGGACAAGAAGCTATCACATGAGTCTTTAAAAATTTAAAATGTATGGTGTTTATTACTTTTTTTTTCTCCCAACCAACTCCACAAGCAAAGTTGTTCTACGTTTCATATCTGGAACTTCCATTAATGACCGAACAGAGAATTCTATGATGCTTCACATATCTGTGTGTGATACTGAAATTACACATGTGCAAGGAAAGGAATATCTCTTGTGGTTACATTGATTTGTTGGAACAACGCAGTTTGCTATATAAAGCCTACTGAGTTGTGGATGACAGTAGAGGTGTTCAAGTATAGCTCTCCAAGCAAAGACTTGGTCAGAGTATGGGTGCTAACACTGTCAGTTGTGTAAACGCCCAGAGACTTTTTACCTGGGAAGCTGGAATATCTGTCTTTTTTCCTCTGAGACAGTACATCTCATAAAATTGTCTTTTCTTATTATGTTTTTTTCCTGAATTCTAAACTTCAGTCCTTAAAAAGTATGTTCTGCTTCTAATAATTTACTCTTCTCCTGGTCATAAGAGCATTTGAAATTTTTTTTCATATTTTGTGGTGTTCCTCCTCTCCCCGGTTTTGTTCCGTCTTTGAGTCATGCAGTGATAGCACCTGGTTCACAATTCAGAGCTGTCTGCCTGAGGTGTGGCATTGCTACAGACTTCAAAATCTGTATTTAAAAAAACACCTATTACTTTATGTACTATGACACAGACATATTTTTACAGATTGCTTTTTAAAGCCTTTGCGGCCAGCCGTGACTGCTGAGTAAAGGATTTAGTGCATTCATCACATTGTGAGAAATAGCCCCTTCAGAGAACACATAAGCTTACAAAGCTGTGGCCCATGCCAAGAAAGAGCAGCAAGCTGGATGCTGTGCCAGAGTGATTGTCAAGATCACAAGCATATGAACAATTTAACTGTTGTTTGATTTTTTTTTTATTTTTTTTTTTTTTTTTCTTCACTTGTTTTGTTGCTAAGCTTGATGTTTGGTTTCAGGAAGTATATTTGCCCTCTTAAAACAATTTGGATAGCTTCTGTGCTAACCTATTTACTCTCTGCATGGAATGATAGAATGAGTTTTGCATGCGATAAACCCCATCGGTAGCATTTTCACTTTTCAATGACCCAGTACACTCTATGTGTGGGTATAGTCCTTGCTGGCCCAAAGTACATTTATCAAGGTTTATGACTAACTGCAGACCTTTGTGTGTTTGCCCTTCTCACAAAAGACATGAATACTGTAGAATTTCTCTATTACGTGAGAATTGATACAGAGAAAAGAGTTTACACTTTTCTTCTTGCTTTTTAGCATTCAACCATTTCAAAATAAAAATTGTCTATTAGTATTTTTCCCTCCTAGTAGTTTAGTACAATGGATTTTCATTTGTCCCTTCATGAAAAAAAAAGATACCTTACTTATGTTTGCTTTCATGTGTTTGTTTTTTTTTTTTTATATGTATGCTGTAATTACACTACTTTAAAAAAAAATCTGCTGCAGGTTGTAAAAGAGTTTTTACTGTGAACTTACTGCAGCATTTTTGTTGCAAACTTTTTAGAAGCGTGTTCTTCACGATGATTTGTTAGTCTTAAGAGATTTGATTTGACAAGCTGCATCCTGTCAATGAAGTTGGGTAATTTCCATTGTTGGCCCATGCTGGAAATAGAGAGACTAAACGCACCTGCTCTGCATGACCTAAAGCAAATGTAAGGAAGTTAGTATGAAATCTGTGTGAGAGAGATATGATTCATTCTGTAAGAATGGCCAGCTGGCAAGATTTCTTCCTGACTTTGAGAACTGGGGCAAAGCTGCAGCTTTGATAATTGCTGGCATCTTCATGGGAATTAAAAGCATAGTAACTTCTTACTAATAACTAATGACTGATTTTTATTGTTTCTTTATTGGGTTTTTTGTTGTTTTTTTTACAGTGATGTGAAAGGATAGAAAATGCTAGGTTATTAGAGAAGATCATCTCCTCTTTATGAGTGTATTAAGCAAGTTATTGGTCAGCAGTAGACACTGTGCTCAGAAGTTTTGCACAGTGATGGAATATGTTATCCTGCTTTTGATTATTTGCCACCTTTTGTATCTGCTACGTACTGCTGGTTTGAGGGGACTTTTTGTTTATTGTTTTGCACGTGTCAGAAAAGTCAGAGCAGTATGATCCTGTGAACAGAGGAAAATACAGACACTGGTTTAAGTTGGCTGATTTCAGTAGACTTGGGGCTGGGAGAAGGAAACCTCTGGCCAGAGAAACAAGTTTTCCCGTAATACCAGTCTGATTTTCATTTTAGCACTTTGACCTGTAGTTGGAACTTTAATCTGCAAAGTTGGTATTTTAGCAACAAATCCAACTGTGCTAAGCTTAACAGTGAAATAGCCTTTTTCATTTAAAAGAAACCACATAAAGCAACCACATCCCTTCACTAGCCTCCTTTTATTTGGAGGCAGTTTAATAATTTGTAGTTGTATTTGGCACTTGAAAGAATGTGCACTGGGTGGAGATATCTGAAGAAGCCTGTGCTGTTGTTGGACACTCACTGGGAAACTCTTTTTGGTAAAGACCTTTGGTATCATTTGGAGAAGTTGTTCCCTGTGCACAGTCACAGGTGTTACCTCAAGACTTCCATGTGTTTCTAGAGCTTGTTGGGTAGAAGTCATGAACCAGGAATTTCCTGTCAGCATTCTGCACAATTCCCAGCTTCAGTTAGGAGCTGCTAAGGAGGAGCTGCTTCTTAGCAGAGTCTGGAAAACTATGTTCTGAGAAATCCTTGCTATTACTCAGCAAGTAATTCTTTTGGTGTGATGAACAGTTGCAGCTTTTGCATTTGGTAGCACTTGAGGAATAAAAGGTTCTCATTAAATGCTATCTTCTTCCATTTCATATGCTTTTCAGCCCAGTTTGTTCAGCCTTCAATCCCAAGAAGTATCTGTTCATATTGAAGATGTGCTTTGTGCATGTTCTGCAGACAAATGTCCATCTCTCTTAGTTTTTGAAGTCTCTTAACCTTCCCCCAATAAGCCCAGGAGAAAAATTTGTGCACGCCCAGAATGCTGAAAGATTGATCTGCTGGCTGTATATTTAAGCTTCCTTGCTATACTTCTTGGTACCCAAAGTTACAAATGGTGTCTTGTGCAGTTGTGTGATGCTGTTTCTCCCTGTTGCTATACAAGTAAGCACAGAAGTGGCTTGTAATTTGGTATCTGAGAAAAATTAACTGAAGTAGAGATTAATTTATTAAATTGGAAAGAAATCAGAGCTGTGTAACTGCAGCTTTTCTCTGCTGTCTGGGACCACACCGTAGTGTGTTGTAGAAAATGTGGCAGGGATATTGAGTCACTGCTTGGTATGTGCCTAGGAGCTTCCTGTGCTTTTCTGTTGGTATCTAGTGTTGATCTTTGTCTCTTGTAAGTCTTGTGCAAGTAAAGTTGAGGTGAAGTTAATCTATTGTATGTCTGTGGCTATGAAAAGTCCAAAAATAACTGGAGAGAGAAGAGCCTTCATTTAGCTACAATTGCTTATCTGGCTCATCTTTCAGTGATCTTCAGCCAAAATCTGCAAGTTTATGAATCTTACATCTCCAGCCTGTATTCCAGCACTGTTGGATTGTAACATTTCCATTATTGTTTTACAGATGTTCAGGCAGTTGCTTACGAGGAGCCAAAGCATTGGTGCTCTATTGTTTACTATGAGCTGAATAATCGTGTTGGGGAGGCGTTCCATGCTTCTTCCACCAGCGTCTTGGTGGATGGCTTCACTGATCCTTCAAACAACAAGAACAGATTTTGCCTGGGGCTGCTCTCAAACGTTAACCGCAACTCCACCATTGAAAACACTAGGCGGCATATTGGCAAAGGTGAGATTTGGATCTTTGCACCTGTTTTTTGGGTTGGGGGCGGGGGGGCCATTTCCTCTAGATGTGACAACCTGGGCCACTTTCCTCAAGAGCAGGCTGGTCTTCCCACTTACATGGGATGAGTGCTTGTGTTGGTAAATATTTTCTGGTTAGGTCATATAAGCAAAGTATTGTTCTTACCTGGTGTGTAATTACAAGAAGCTTTTACCCTTAATCAATTTTTAATTGCCTGAAGGCTATCATAATCTTCATTAGAATGACAGTTTAAGACAGTTTGTCTAATGAAATGTCTTGATTTATCTTGATTATTGGTGTATATGGAAATCCAAATTATAGTTCTTGGCACCAAATTTTTAGCTAGCCTTAATTCCAACATAAATTAGCTATCCTAACATGTATTTAGAGAGACAACATGCTAAAACAGCTTTTTCAAGCACATTTTTCACAGGCTGGTTATTCTTTCAGTGGGAATTTCATGCTTCTCTTCTATGGCTGTGACAGTATCCTGCAAAAGAGAAAAGTTTCTGTTTTATGTCTGACAATACAGGTCTCTTTTCTGAGAACTGGCCTATAATGCAAATGACAGGCAAAACTGATGTTGCCCCCTGCAATGGGGCATTCCTGCCAGACAAATTTTTTAGGTGTTTACATTACTAACACACTCTAAATTTTCTGAGACAGTTGAGGGTTCAGCATGCCCAAGCAGTGAGGTGCGTGTTGTAAATGTTAATTAATGAAGTATCTTCCTCCTCGTTGGAGGAACGAATTGAAACCGAAGAGAACTTCAAATTTCAGCCCTTGGTCTGAAGAGCTTCTCTCTGCAAGAGGACTTAGGCAGCTCAACAGTACACCACACCTGTGCTGTGCCACTCAAGTCCTAATAATTCTTCCTTCTTTTCCTCCCCATCCATCTTACCAAGTATCAGGATATTTGTTTAACACCTCATTCATTTTCCTGTTAAAAGTAACCCAGCTGCAACCCAGAGTTCTGCTGAAGCACTTAACTGCATATGTACCAAAGCAGAGTGCAGAAGAGACAAAGATGCTGTTGAATAAGTAAATGTGTACAAGTAATGATGATGTAAAACTGTTAGTCTTTGAGGAAGGAGGAGTAAATCCCAGACTTGAAGACATAGCTGTAAATGACTTCTGCAGATTAGATGGGAATATATATGTACCCACACAGGTACATGCATAGTCAATGGCAAAATCTTACATGACAGAGCACAGTCAAAGCTTTCTAACTGGCCTTCAATTTAGTTTTGAAATTCTCTGTGTTCACTTCTCTGACTCATGATGTCGTGGGAGGTAAAAGGTTTAAACAGCAAATAATCCATTTTTAAACACAAAAGGCCAGTTTGCTCTCTCAAAGCCTTTGGAATTGAGTCTTACTGACAACAAATCTCCACAGAGGCTCCCTGTATGTCCCCTCCACTTCTGGGGCTTGCTGCCGTCAGTGGCAGATGAGGCAGCAAGCAGTAGAAGGGGAAAGGACTACAAAATTGGTGTGTACCCTTGTTTGACAGATACAGCTCATGAATATATGGGCAATATTCTTTTTCCAGCTTTCTGAAATTGAAGCGAGCTGAAAAAAGTCATGTTACCCCAAATAGTGTTCAGGACTTTTCCAGAGAATTCAGCTTGGGTCTGCTTTAGTATCTACAAATCATGCAGTAGGTTTCTGCTCTCTCCTCTTGCATTCCCAATTACTGCTTTACATAAATACAATGAGAGAAAGTTCAAGTGGTCAAGCCATCTAAGGTACGGCATCAAAACTACTGCAGTGCTTGCTAGTTTATTGATGTTGAATATTCAACACGTTAAAATGCAGGAATTACTGATTTCCTTTATACATACATGCATGCGCACTCTCCTTTAAAATCCCCTACTGATGAAACAGAAAAGTTAAAATCGAGTTTGAAGACAGTCAGATGATGGTCTGATATGCAATTACTGTTTATCTCTAAGCAGAAACATATCTCTGTGGCGACAGCATAAAAAATAGATAGGCAGTGTAAATTTGTCTAACATCCTCATGTCAACCTTTTCCTCCCAGGTGTTCATCTCTATTACGTTGGTGGGGAAGTGTATGCTGAATGCCTAAGTGACAGCAGTATTTTTGTGCAAAGTCGGAACTGCAACTACCATCATGGGTTCCATCCCACCACAGTCTGCAAAATCCCCAGCGGCTGCAGTTTGAAAATTTTCAATAATCAAGAGTTTGCTCAGCTTTTGGCTCAGTCAGTTAACCATGGCTTTGAGACAGTGTATGAGCTTACTAAGATGTGCACTCTACGTATGAGTTTTGTAAAGGTATGTGAAAATTTATTTGAGATTATTTTGTAAGCAAAATAAATTATTTTTTTTCATAACGTGGTGATTTTGAATGGTCCAGTGTCTCCCTTCGTCGTCCTGTTAATAGCTGTTGAATTTTAAGTATGGAATATGTTCATTAGATGTAAGACAGATCTTAATGAAACAAAGTTGCCCTTGTGGACAAAAATCCATCTAACACACATACTTTGAAAGATTGAGGTAACTTGCAGAGAGTGTTTCTTCACTTAAGTCTGTAGTCACTTGTGAAGCATTTCTATCATGCCTGTTAACTATTCTCATTTCACTAAATTGCCTCTTGTAAATTTTTAGTGTGTCAGTTGAATTCTTGTATTCAGTATGTGTATAGATAGTGTGTATGTGTGTATACAGAATTATTTGCATAATTACTCTGGAATTATGGAGCTTGTCTTTTTTATTTTGTAGTATATGGCAAGATACAGTACAAGTTTTGAAAAGAACTGAGTCATTAATTACTTGGTCTAAAAGTAGGAAAGCCACCAATTCATTTTGTAGCATCAGCTTTTTCCCTTTTTTTTTGACCGTAGTTACGATCCATGCCATCTCTTCCCCTGTAAGAGGCCCAGCTGAACTTCACACTTCTGTTCCTGGGTGTTATTTTTGGAGACTTCAGCTGGGACTGCAGTGTAAATCATTATAGCAATTGTGGGAGTGTAGGTAGTATAATCCCCTAAATCTGTCTTGACCTGCAGCTCCCAAATAATATAGATACCTTTCTATTCTATGGGGGCATACAAGGTCAAGATTTGTGATATACCTGTAAGTGTCAACATAGGTACTGATATAAAAGGGCTGGTCACATATAGAAAAGTAGTCAGACGATAATGGTAATATGCTAAAGTGCTCTTCTTGGCAGGAGGATAGAAACTTTCAGATGTGTTAGGACAGGGGTTCCTAAAAAGAAATAGGTTATTTATAGCTCTGCATCCTACACAGTTGTATGGGAGTGTTGCACAGGACCTCCTGCGTACTGGATGTTGTACTGCACAGTGTTTAGAGCTGCTGCCACCTGTGTTGGAGCTGGGTAATCCCTTCATTAGGGGTTAATGTAGAGCAGAGCTAGCTGTACCTGCGGCTATCTTAGTCTTGTCTCCAGACTTGCCTCAGAAATGGTTCACTTACAAAATGATTTTGAATGCTGCTTAAATATCTGCTTATATCTTTGGTAATTACTGTAACTGAATCATGTATGAGCTGAAACAAAACCTAGCTTGTCTTAACTTGAGAAATAGCCTGTTGGGCAATGACCATGCCCTCTTTTTCCAAAGAGGAATATTTCTGACTTATTGCTCAGTTTATCATGTCCATCCTGCAAATGATGCTTTGGGTCTTGTCAGACAGACACCTCACCCCCACTTCCATAATGTCAGTCTATGACCTCATTTTCTGATTTGTTGATCTGTTTGGCAGCATTTCCCCACAGTTTGCTCTATTTTTGGTCTTGGCAGAGAAGACTTGATTATCCCCCTCTTTGGAGGCTTTGTTGGGATGTCATGCTGGCTGAGATAGGGGGAAATTTTGCACTGCCACAGGTTATGTCTTTAAGAATTTAAAGAGTTCTATTCCAGGAGATCTCAAAATGACACTTCTTCCAAATTATTTTTTTTTTAAACTTCAGATTTGTTTGTTGAAATGCAGTAATAGTTGATGTGTGAAGGGTGTTATGCTACCCTGCTGATAATGACTGTTGAAAGCGAGAGCATTTTGGTAAGAAAGAAGATGATTGAAGTATGCTTCTCACATATTTGATATTATAAGATAAGGTGATTTTATTTTTTTTTTTTCTTTCCCCACTTATGATTCTGTTCTCAGGGTTGGGGAGCTGAATATCATCGCCAAGATGTGACGAGCACTCCATGCTGGATAGAGATACATCTTCATGGTCCCCTGCAGTGGCTGGATAAAGTACTTACTCAGATGGGCTCTCCTCATAATCCTATTTCTTCAGTGTCTTAAAAGGTCCCAAGCCTCCTGCATTTTGGAAACAATTGAGCCTTGCATGTACTTGAAGGATGTATGAGTCAGACACACTTTTGGTATTTTTTGCGCCCCCACCCCTCCCGAACTGGCAACAGCTGAATAAGAGCTATGAAAATACTTGACTTCTGTGACCAACTGTTGGATTCTGAAAAAACAAACAAACAAACAAACAAAAAACCAAAAAAAAACAACAGCAAAACCAACCCAAACAAAAACCAACCCCTTTGACATACTGCTGGTATCAAAAATTTTAGTTTACATTATAACATACTATTGCAAAGTTGATTTGCTGTGTTTAGTGCAACAGGGACAATCGAGCCAAAGCCACAATCTGTCGGACTGAGTTCCTGAAGGATCTTCCTGTAGCTGGCACTCTGAGATTCTCTTTCTTCCTTACATTCAGCGCTTGGTGTTCCCTGGTGTCCTCTGGGGCTAAGAGCCGATGTTGAAGTCTGCTTTTTGCAGGCTTTCTGCAGTACATTTTAAAACCATTTGTCTAAGTTGATGATTGCTGTTCTCTTTAAAAGAAAAGAAAGTCATGAGGTTTAATCTCAATAACTGCGTAATAATCTTTGAAATTGTGTCCTGACCATACTGCTGTAAGAATGTTAGGTATGTTTTTTGCTAAATGTATGTACGGTGTATTTGAAAGTCTAGAAATTAGTTAGATTTAGACCATAAAAGAATTAGAAATATTTGAATGGGGGGAGGTGGGAGTGGGAAGGGAAAATGACAACTGAAATGTAGAATATATTGTAAACATAGCTTGTTAGTTTAAACTGACGTCTGAGTTTTGCTGTGCATTTCATTTTTATAGTGGCTTCATCTTGTTAATTCTGACTATTTTTGCCTCTTCATTTTCCCCAAAAACAATTGCGCAGCTGGTTAATTCTTTTACCCATGAAGAGGATGAAATGATTAATACCTGCAGTTTGAAGGCTGCAGCTCTATGTATTTCAAGACAAAATTGTACAGAGTGCTCTCTAATTATTGAGCGGTTTTATACAGTTTATGTAACAGAAGTAGGCTTTTAATTTTGTAAGAGAATCTTGTTTTGCCCAACCTAGTAATGGTTAATTGTTTGGAGGACTTCAAAATCACTGTGTGGGTCTATTTCAAACTTTTAAAATATATATATATATATTTTTAATTTTTTTTTTTTTTTTTTTTACTGCTTGGTTTATTTTCTTCTTTGATGTTTTATATTCACGTAAACTGTAGTACTTTAAGTACCTTTATTCCAAAACTAGTGGGTCCTCTTTACTGGAAGTTTTTGAATAAAACCTGTTGTTACTGCTTACATTTGATTAAAACCTTGTCTTGTCCACTTCTTGGTAGACTCTTAATAAACCAGATAAAGATATGGTCTTGGAGGAGGAACAACTAGAAATGAAGATATGCTGACCTTAGACATTTATGATTAGTACAGGTTAGTAACCATACTAAACTCAGAATGTGAGATAAGAGTACTCTAGAGAGAAAGATTTCTTAACCAGACCAGATTAGAATGGCTGCAGTAACACTGAAGTATCCTAGCCACTTTGAAATCTCACAGAAATTTAACTATGTACAATATCTGTATGAGAGGAGATTTTGCTGAGGTTGCACCGTCAGTGGGCTCTTGCTGTTCCTTGCCATGGCTGTGGTGAAAAGCCTCCACACTCCTTTCTCCACACCTCTGCCTTTGCTCTGGGAAGAGGTGAGCGGAGGACTGTCCCTTTGCAGCTGTGAAGTGTCTGTTGGATGCTGGTATGATGGAGTTTTGAGAGACTGGGAGTTGACTGGAGTCCCAGTGCCTGGCTGTAATGGACTATGCAGCATGAACAGGAGCACGAAGCAAAGCTGAGCAACAGAGATGAATGTATGTTCAGCCAGATGTATGCTTGTGTATGTCACTGTAATAGGTATTAGCCCTTTTTGGAGAATGAGTCAATCCTATCCCTTTTTTTTTTTTTTTTTTTTTTTCCTTTTTTAAATTAATTTCACTGCTTGGTTCAGTATATGTTTTTAAAACTAACCCTTCTTCCTCTGGTAAGGAAAAAAAAAAAATCCATAATGTTCAAGTTCCCTATTTAGCAGAACTTGGTTAGTGACTTTTTTGTAAGTTCCAAGAACAGACTGATTTTTTTTTTTTTTTTTAATTCAGTTTAACTTGTATTTTTCATAAAGAAGCGGTCATAGCACAAATGTAAGTCTTAAAATTAAGTAAAAATTAAAGATGACCAAAAAAAGAAAGAATGCTGTTTGCTGTTCAGTCACTGTTATATTAACTCCCAGCTGTTCCCAGCCAGTTTCCTTCCTTTTGTTGGAATGCAGTACTGAGGTAGTGACTTTTTTTTATCAGCACTGTAACCATCCATCATGTGAGCCTTAAGAGGTTTCTGTTTGGTTGTGTTCACATTTGGATGATCCTGTGCAAGTTTTGATAAACTTTGAAATTGCTTTGGAGTAAGAAAATACAGTTCCATGTTGTGACTGCTTTTGAATGTTAGTGTCTTGTATGTTTTGGGCTGTAATGCCTCTCTGTTTTTCCTAAACAGGGATTAAAATCAGGAAATACTAGCTCTGCAGTGTCTCAGAAACTTTCAGTGGTAATACTTCTGCAGGGTCCCAGTTTTTGTAAGTTCCTTATGTTGTGCATTTTTCTATGCTGTTGATACTGTTAAAGTGCAGTGTACATCATTTTTTCTTTATCTGTTATTCAGCTTTTTGTTGGTGGTGAGGAGACATTAGGTGTAAGGAAGAAGTCTACTTTCATGTGATGGCACAGAGTATCCCAGCTGTACTTTATTAAATAATTGGACTGCAGTAGCACCTGAGACTAATAGCCAGAAAAATAGGAGCTAGCACAGAAGTTGCCTTGGAGGAGGCAAGTGCTAGCCTGAGGCTCTTGGGAATATTTGTGGAGCATCTTGGAGAAGTTTTCTTACTGATTTTCACCGCTTTGGATAGTTGGAGTTAGAAAGTTGGAAAAGGCACAGAACAAGACAGAAGGAGAAGAGTTTTTCTTGCTGACCTCTCACAAAACAGAAAATGATGAGAGGTAGAAACTTGGAGAGAGCCTCCAGTGTCAACTCTGTAATCAGGTGAGTCCTTACTGCCTGTATGGTTTTATTTCCCCATAGTTTCCTGAGTCTAGTCTTCTGAACAACAGAGTTAAACACAGAAGGCACTGCTTCAGTGTGAAAAGCCAAGACAGTCCCTGTTAAGAGAAGCTGAAAAGGTATGTTTTAGAAAAATAATTGAGGAAGAGCAGTGAAGCGTACATGTGGAGATAAATGCTTCTGTGAAACTGAATGTGTTTTGAAATGTGTGCTGTGGCTTTCAAGTGCTGGAAAGAAAATGATTCTCCCCAAGTAGAGATGACTTTTTAACTATTTAAAAGTCTCTCATGAACCTTTAAAAGACTTGATGAAAACTGAGAGGTAGTTGTGTTTACTTGTGTGGTTTTAGGAAGGTATGAAAAGAAATAATTAGTGTTTTAACATATCCTGTGTCAGAATCATGGAGCTGATCTTTTAATGCTCACTAATGTGGTATTGCTATCTAGTTTGATAAAGCCATTCCCTTACTAAGTCTCTTCTCTTGCTACTGTACCTACATTTTCCCAACTGCAGTTGTCTTTTCTAGCCTCAAAGAATGCAGTTGCATGACTATTGTTATTTGAAGATAATAAATGCAGAGATGTCTGAAACTTTTCTGTCGCTTTCTTGGTGTGCATATCTCCTTGATTTTTTTTTTTTCCTTTGTCTTGCCACACATTAAACCTTTTATTGATATCTTGGAACTTATCTGTGTTTTGATGGTCTCTATTAATTGCTGCCATTCGTTCTGTTCAGCACACTGTAGCCGCTTATTCTGCTCTCGAGATTCATGATTCATAACTGAACTGTCAGTCACCTTTTTCTGGTTATGTGCCTAAATATACAACATAACTACCATCACCAGTCATGGTAGAGCAATATATTTTTTACATACATCATTTCACAGTTAATTTTCTTCAAATATATTTGTAATTCTGTGTGGGAGAGAGGTGAAAATGGCTCTTATTTACTCTGCCCCTTTCTGTCCTTCACTTAAGCAGCTCAATGAAGAGAGACACCCTTGTCATGTTATTCTTTTAGGGGACATTCTTCTTTGTTCCCTGTGCCCCCTTCCCTGACGCCTATACTCTTGCTGACTTTTTTTTTTTTTTTAAATTCTTTGCAAATAGGTTTTTGTATGAGTCTTTTTTCTCATACAAAATGTGTGTTTCAGTCAGACAGAAAACCCTCTACAGTATGCTTGCCAAAGGCAGGTGTAAAGACTTATGGGTTGCTGTAGGCACTAGAAGCCACCTGTAAAGATACGCATCCTTCGCAGGCACCACTTTTTCAACCCCTGCTGTCTCAAATGCTTTTTGGAAAAAGAAGGTGAAGTGAGACAGGTTTGTGCTATTGGATTTCACTTTTGCTTGGTATTATTGTTCCCTCCTCTCTATAGTAGTATGTCACTTGGTTTGCATCTGACTGAAATGACAGGAATTGTCAGCCAGAATTCTCAGGCTTTGTATTTAGCGGTTGTATTCCCTGACTGCTGCCTTCAGCTTCACAAGCAAGCCTTCTACTTGTTCTCGTCATCTCTCTCTCCCAATGGGCTCTGGAATAAATAACTTGTGTGGTTTGTTGAACAAAGCTCCTCTACTCTTGTCTCACCTTGGTGACTTGCTTAGAGGGGAAACCTGTGCGGGACAAATGAAGCTGTATACCTGGTTCTCATTCACAGGGGCTGCTCCTACGTGCAGGCTGGCTGAAGTGATCCTCGTTGGCAGGGGTTGCCATCCTTGTGAGGTGCTGTGCCTGTTCCTGTGCCACCGCAAGTCACATGTCTGTGTGGTATGGCAAACTGCCACCAGTTTGTCTATGTACATTCAGGTATTGTGAGCTGTTAGGGCAAGGGTTCTGATTTCCCACCTTTTTTCAGTTTTGTTGAGGTGGCTGACAAGGTGGCTCCTATTTCATTCATCCCAGCTGTGGGAGATGATCTCTTCAGCTGCAACAGTTATGTCTGACAGGGTATATAGTGAATTGGTTTTCCTTAAGCAGTTGCAATGGAGAGACAGCCTCCTGATCAAGCCTGTTGCAAACACAGAAGTAACTCCAGTAAGATGTATAATGTAAGCATTCCCTGGCCTTGACATGGATACAAATAGGAGCAGGTCTATTGCAGTGAATGGACAAGATGGAGTATAAGTTTTACTTGAGTCTGATAAATGCTTTAGAGATAAAAATGGCATGTGAATCCTCAGTGTATGTTAACTTGTTGCTGAAGTCACCAAGAGTAGTATCAAACAAACCCCCAAATTCTACAAACAGTCCAAAAGTCTGGAATTTGATTCAGTCATCTTTCAGGAATGTAAGAATTTTTATTCTAGTGGGTGCAGATTCTTAGTTTTCTTTTAGCAATTGGTTTGTGATTTCCCCTTTCCATTCTGCTGCTAAGGTATGAGTTGAAAAATCTGTATCATCTCTTCATGATCCTGCCAGCTCATCTGACACTTTAAATCTGTAAAGTTCAGAGGAGGCTGCTGTAGGTAAATCTTGAAGTGAGCACCTTCATATGCTTCAGCTCGCAGACAGGACTTAAGATCTCTCATAGCAGTGATAAAAACCCACCAGTTAAAACTCTGTATCGTAGTAAATGTAGAATGAGCTACATTTGTGTTACTGTGGGGACTCTGTACATGCCAAACAGGCTTTCCTTGCTCAAAGATTTTGGTTTAAGTGGACAGGTCACTTACTTAGATGTGGCGGGAACAGCACAGTTTGCCTTTGTAAAGAATATTCTAATTTTCCTGTTTTCAGTTTGTTTCTTTCTCCAGTATCCCTGTAACATATAAAAACATTATTTTATATGAAGAAAAATTGTGTTCTTAACTGCCCCTTCCTTTACCCTTCCTTACATGATGACTTTGAACTTCTTGGTTTTCTGTTCCTTTAGAGTACAGAGTCAAACTTGGTACAAGCGGGAGAATGAGACCCCTCTGTGTAGTGCTGCAGTAAGACTTTCCCAGAGCACTTGGTTCTTGGCTGGAGGGCAGGATCTGTCTCATCTCTGAGCCCTTCACTTCTGCCTTCTGTTGATACTTTTGGGATTGGTAATCCTGAGTGTTTTCAGATATATATATATATGTGTGTGTGGAGTCTGGAAGATGGCTGCTGTCCCATCAGATACTTCTTCGAGTTTATGGACCGGTCTCCTCAAGTCAAAATCACCACAGGCCGTAGCGCTGGCAACAGCACTAGTTAAAAACTGGTTCCAAGCATGGCTTCGT